ATGCAGGTGAGTACATATTACTCCATCATGCAGGTGAGTACATATTACTCCATCATGCAGGTGAGTACATATTACTCCATCCTGCAGGTGAGTACATATTACTCCATCTATGCACACATCCATTCATCCCTGCATTTCCCAAATGTCTGTTCTGGACTGGACAGGATCGATGGCCTTTTAATCCATTACTTGGCAAAACTCAGCTTTACTCGTATGTGAACATGGCCGCATCTCCTCTTTTAGGTCTTTTGGGTATTACAGTGACCTGAAACAGTCCCCCCCCCCCAGCAGGGGGCGGTGGCGATCAGCCAGTGAGATGGGACACTGCTCAAACCGCAGCGCTGGCTGACGACCAGGTCCGGAGATTGCCTGTATTATTCAGCTAATAATAAAGCTCTTCATCACCTTTTTTTTTGGGGGGGGGGGCTGAGGACTGGATTGAGAAGCGCTGAGTTACAGTGACCAGATGGAGTCAGATGCTGAGTGGCTTCCTGTGGGTGACGCCAATGTGCTGCTGCCTCTGTGGTCTGGATTCGCTGCCCATTGGCAGCACGTCAGTGGCGGGCAGTGGAGCTCGGACGAGCCTGGCCGCCTCCTATAGGCGACCGTGGAAGCGAATCTCCGGGCGCTTCTGAAGCGGCCAAGAGTCGGCAAAGTCTGGGGGAGGCAGAAAGGCCAAGACGGAGTAGGCGAAGGGCGTCCAATCGGATGTCATCCGCCGAACATCTGGAGCACCTGTTAAAATTCAGCGTGCTATTCTGTCTGGACGAAGAAAAAGAAAATCTCCACATAGCAAAACCAATTAAAGCGAAGAATGGCAACTTCTTTCCATGAGTGTGCGAATGCGGTGTCAGCCGGTGTTTCCACTGTGAAAGTTGGTGAAAAAGTCTTTTCTTGTATGGCTTGGGCGTGCAAGGGGGGCACCTTAAAATGAGCAGGGCTTTGCTTCTGCACGTCAGAGCTGCCCCCGCTCCCTTTACGGGCCACCGATTCTACATCTGTTTCTGGTGAGAGGCGTCAAAAAAGAAAAAACTGCAAATGTGCTTCGTTAGGGGCCACGGTTTCCCGGGAGACCCGCTGCTGCGAGAATGACATCGCTCGTCTGTTTGAGCGACTGGCACTAAACCTTTGACAGCTTTCCCCGCAATTTGCAAACGTTCTCGGGTGCTGTTAAAAAATATATATTCAACATGTCACGTTGTTTCAAAAAACCGAGACATTTCTTTTCACTGGGGTCTATATCCGTATGAGTTACATGTAAGCGGCATCTGGCCAATCAGAAACAATCATATATCATATAGCAAATTCTGATTGGACATTTTTTAAATCCACCTGGCATGCCTGCAATGTTAACCAATCAGAATTCAGGCCAGGAATATTCAAGTTGAAGAAAGTGAGTAAGATACAGGTACTTTTTCTAACAGGAGCATGAAAACCATTTTTAACACTGAGCTGCTCCTTTCCTGCTGAGATAAAGGTTAAAGGTCAAAGGTTCACCCCAACCACAGACCTTGTGCTGTAGATGGGGACCTGGCTGCCCATCACATCCTCAGTGGCCTTCACCCACAGGGTGAGCTGCTTAGTCTCAGAGCCAAGAATCCACAGAATGATCTTTAATGATACACAGCGGGCTGAATTATACAGTAGGTTAAATGGTACATTTCCCACAGTGAGTACTACGTAGCCTAGTACATTATCAAGAACACATTTTAAAAAGGCACTCGCCCCCATTGACCCTTCAGCCACGTTTTTGTTCATAGCGAATGACAGATTGATTGGGAAAAGCACAAGCAGGTAGAGCAGTCAAGACTTGGAAGACAGACTAAGCAGATGCGGAAGCCCACAGAGACCACAAAGACTCACGCAATCTCACAGCCTCCCCTGCCGCTGGCGTGTAAAAATATAATATGTGGTGTTGAGCATGTTTTATCCATCGAAGCGCTTTGTTTTCAGTGTAGAATAACGGACATGGACGAATAGTTTGGCGGATTTTATGCGATTCCTGGCACAAATGTGAGTGCAGCTATGCGGCCACGAGGCAGTGGCAGATCTGAAGACCGGGAGACTGATGATATGTGTGTATGTGTGTTTTTTTTTTTGCTGTTTGCTCTCACTAGAGAAAGCATGTCACTCTGAATAAGACAGAGACCCCTCTCTGCACCCCATGTCTCGATGAACCGCAGGCAAAGGCGCCTTCGGGCGTTTCTCCAGGGCGTCTGTGATACACACAGATTGTGTGATGTTGGTGGGGACAGCTACACAGGACTCAAAACAGAGATGTAAGAAAGACAGGAACCTGCTTTTAAAAAGCAGATACTGAACTATTGAACTAGTTTGAATCGCTTTATACTTTTTGTAACAAAAACTGTTGTAAGAGTCTCAACAAAGATGTACTCGGGCGTTCATCTGAACGTCCCCGACTCTAACCATACTTTATAAAACAATAAAGTTAAAGGCTTACAAATTTAAACATACAAAAAAATAGCTGATTAAGTATTTATAAGATTTTTTTTTGTGAGGATGATGTTATAAGTCTAAATTTCCTCAGGAAATCCCAATAACGTAGCAAATCCTGTACACACTCACTCCACACACACACACCTGTTTGTATTCATATCTTTGTGGGGATCATCCATTCATTTCTATGGGAAAAACCGTAATCCCAGTTATGACACCCTTAACCCCTACCCAGCCCTAACTTTAACCATAAGTAATCAAACAAAATACAAGACTTTTGGCATTTTCAGTTTTTGTGATTGCAGTCACAGATTTTTATGGAACTGAGTTTCCCCTCCATGCCCAGCTATGCCCCACCCACACCCTACCCATTCCCCACACATGCCCTGCTATGCCCCACCCACACCCTATCCATTCCTCACACATGCCCTGCTATGCCCCACCCACACCCTACCCATGCCCCACACATGCCCCACCCACACCCTGTCCATGCTCTGCCAATGCCCCACCCTCGTCGCTGTAACATGCCATTCTCTCCTTAAGGTGTGACACCCCCTATTCTGCTTCATTTCATCACCAGTGACAAGAAAATAAGTTAACTGCGGAGTGTCGGTCATAGTTAACTTTAAAACAACACATTTACCCAGATTCTTGCCGCCTTTCCTGAACCTGTTAACCCTGCCAGTCCCTTTTGCTTACTGCAATACAGCATGTGAGGCAGGGCCAAATTGCTCTGTTTACTCAGACGAGGTTTTCATTCCGCCCACATTCTGTCTCATCATGGCTAAATGTGCCATCCCTGCTCCCCATCATGCCTCGCTTCGTGTAACTGAACGGAGACTTCACAAATGTCCCTCCACCCCTTTTAAAAAAATACATATTTCTAATAATAAGACACGAGTTTCCTGGAAAGTGTGTGCGATGATGAGCTGATTGAATACGTTCTGCTGAACGTCTTAGACGGAAGGTAACAGAGGTTCTAGTTACCCTACATGTAACAAGCGACAGCCTGTTTCTCAGGGGAAGTTAACCTGCCCGGATCAGTTTCCATTAAGTTGTTTTACATGGAAACACAAGCTAAGATCTCTGTCTTTTAAAAATTAAGTTTGTCACATCCATCATTTAATTGCTATTTATCTTTGAGTTCAGTTTCAGCTGCGGCACCATGTTGAGGTGGTGACCCAACTGGACATGAGATGATGACCAAAAAACATTGACCAGGCCTCCCTCTTACCCTCAGCTCTGCTGCCCTCTGTCTCTCTGGCTCTACTTGTCCCTCCCTCTATTTTGCAATGTGCCAGAAACCCAGCTACCCTTAATACTCATGTTCGATGTTTGTGTATGCATGTGTCGGTAAACGCTCACCTGTGTCCCGGACATGACGTAGAGGAACTTGTGGTCGAGAGAGAAGGCCATGTCGCTCAGGACTGGCTCAGCCCCCTTGATGATGGTCATGGTCTCGTACTGGACTCCTCCGTGGGGTGGCCCATCTACTCTGATCTGAGAAAAGAAAAAGACTCATCCGTTAGCATGCAGAGCAAAGATGTCTTCCCTCCAGATTCAAGGAGCTCTGCTCTGAAATTGCTGCACCCCCCCCCGCCATCATGCATTTGTTATGACACATCTGCTAACAATCGTTTGCTCGTCGTCAGACCCAGCAAGTGAAAACCAGATTACACTGGGACTGAGGTTACCTGTCTCTTTCAGGGGTCAAATAAACAGCACAAGGAAATCGGGCATCAATCAGGTGATACGAGTCAGTCCATTTCCCTGCCTTGGAATCTTGCGGGAAATTAAAAGAATCAATGCACCTTGTGTTTTCATGAAAGGGACTTGCGTGTTCTTGCAAGCCATGATATGATGGAAGAGACAGACTAAAGATAGACAAGGTGAGCACAGACACCCGAGACAGATACATCTCTTCCTCCGGTTAAGGGTAATACCGCAACCTCAACCCCAATCCAGGTTCACAATACAGTCAAACAAAAGAACCGAAAATCCCTTTAAACTTTCAATGCCCATGAACTCCAGACAGATTTATGGAATTTCCGCTTCAATCCACTGAGCAAGGGTCACGGTGAGGCAGTGAGTTATAGGACGGCTGAATGTGCCACTGATGAAAAACTGTATATCAACCATTACTGAAATGGCCCTAAAGAGTGTCAGGTGTCTCTAAAAACTGAGCGCCGCATCGAGAAGCACTCGCACTTGGGCTCAGAGTACAGAGCGCACGTACCCTCGTATAAAGCGTGTCATCTAGGCACCATTGATTTCTGTCAGAAACGTTAAGTACATCTCAGCCTCAAGAAGTCGTGCCAAGCCTATACTCAGTCCTGACACAGGTGTGTTGATGTCACTGCCCTGCATTTAAAATGTGGCCCCAGAAGGGTGCGGGTAAGTCAGCTGATTCGCCCTTCCATTGACATCACCTGTGCCATTTTATTATAGATCACAGTGACGTGCGCAGACTCTGTTCGGTAGGCAGGTGCTCAAACAGGGGGGCGTGGCCAAGCAGTACTTTTTGTTAGGTAAACAAATGGACCAACAAGGTGTGGGGGGGGGTCACTTTCATTCATTCAGGCAGGCGCTCAGGCACCCCGCCCCCGCCTGATCAATCATATGAACTGGCCCCTGTTTGGCCTCTCAGTCCTGAGAAGCCACACCTAGATACCAGTGCCTGGTGCTGCATTCTACTGTAACCCTTTCCAAAGACCCAGTGAACGGTTCATGGTCCTGTGTAGCCAGAAGTGTTTAGTTTAAATCCCCCTCCCCTCATATTAAATCTGTCTCTCCTCCCAAAGGCCAAATAAAGCCTCTATTCCTCCCCCCTGTCACATGGTCCCGTTTGCTGTCCCACATGGGGCAAGTGTCACAGCCCCATAACCCTAGACTGACCAGGTGTGACTCTGTACGGTGACTGATTTTCACCAATTCCATTCAGTCACTAGAACATCAATATTTTAAAAGCAAATTCTCACCTAACTATTTTCTTCTCTCTGTTCTAATGTATTCTGATTAATGATTTATAACAGCAGAGATATTTTGACAATATGGTCCTGTAGTGGTACAATCATTTGCATCACTCAGGAAGATAATCACGAAGTTTGTCATAAATCTTCAGTAAACAAATTATTTTCCTCAATTGTTTTGCAGAATTGTTGCTGAATTAATAGGTTAAGATAACATTTGATCTGGGCACAGCTGTAGAATTAACTACCATGACGGTTAGAAGCATTTTGTTTATATTAGATGCTTTAGCACTTTTTGCAAAATTGACTGAGCAGAAGGTAAATCTTAAATCCCAGGCCATGTCAAATCCAGGTGCTCATGCTATAAAAAACTCCTGTCTTCTTGGCGAAGCCCTTTGAGGAAGCGGAAAACAACAAAGTGGCAGAGGCCTCTCTGGCAAAAAGCCTTTAAACTTCTAAACCCGAGAATAGGCAAACATGCGAGGATCGGGTTAATCTACGCCGCATTATGTGATTTGCACATGACAAGGAAATGGAAGACGCCACAGCAGGAAGTCCGGGGGCCAAACGTATCCCGTCTGCGGCTGCACGGCATGAGGATCGCAGAGAGATGATCCAGGTGGGAAAGGGCCCAGCGGCACAGAAACGATGGAAGAAGTCATCTGACTGTCGATGGATCCTTTGGATCTGGGAATGGGATCTCGCATCTCTCAGTGGATTACCAAACATTTCTGTAGGGGATACCGCACGTCACCCCAACCCCTTGGGCCGGCCAAGAGACGGAGGCAGAAATGCTGAAAGGCGTGAGATCCAGCCAAGAACTAATTTTATCCATCCTGCTTTTGAGGGACGTTCAGAAAACCATCTTTTCTCTAACCAGAGCCTCTTGGGGCAGACAGTACAGAGATGAAGCTCGGTTCATTATATATATATATATATACACACACATAATGTACCGACAAGCCTTCTGAGATTTCATGGACGAGTTCAGAGAACTGAACTGCACAAGCCTACAGGAGTTGGAGATAAACTGCATCCCAAATAGTGGAAAGTGCAGACTCTTTACTACACGACGCTCTGTTATGCAATACGATTAAATGTATTTATACGTTTCCCACAGGAATATAAAGAGTACAGCGGGCTACAAGCTTCGAGATGAACGTTAGCCAGTTCATTCCTGAATAGTCACTTTAAGGCTTGGGCAGCGCTGGAGATCCCTGCACATCCCGCAGTGGGGCGAAGTCAGGTGACAAGGCACGTTCTGCCACCTCTGGTAATATAAATCAGACTCCCAGCCATGCAGACCAGACCAGATACCCACCTTGTTTTCTCTTTGTCTAAGCAAGTGTCAGTGTAGTAACTAATCCGAAGGCCAGGCCCAGGAGTTTCACGCTGAGGCTCAGGTGGGGATCAGTAATGCTACCAGGATGCCATCAAG